TTTTAACCCATACCAGAATCTTGGATTGCCTTGAGAGGCCACAAGAGCCTTTCAAATCCCTGAACCCCTTCGACTGTAGTTGCAGCATCCACACGCAAGCTCTCATAAGCCAACCCAGGGACTTGACCAATGCAACCCGTACACTTCCCAAAACAGGAAAGAATTCTTCAGCTTAGCCTCCGGTTATTAATCTTATCATCCTAGCCACTCCATAAATTGTAGACACCTTGGTGGGAATTCCAAAATCAAGCGTCCCTGCATCCACAATTTGATGTTATTTATCAACATACGAGATCTCCATCAAATTCTTCAAGTGCACAACCCAAGCAGATCAACATAAAGAAAGATCCAATCTTTGAATCAAAAAAAAAAGCACAGAGATTGAGATGAAGGACTCACCGGTCAACGTCTCGAGTGCGCCGTCGGAGCGGTCAACGTAGAAGGCGAGATCGGTGACACCTTGACTCGGACCTATATATATATATATATATATATCAGTCTGTTTAATTTCTTGTTCTTTCTCCCTCTTTTTCTTGATGCGCAACTCTGTCTATTTCCTCTGGTTAATAAATTTCGAGGGGAGATTGTCCCTATTCTTTAATAATAATAATAATAATAATAATAAATTGTGAAAAAATTGCTATAATCGATGCCACTTTCGTGAAAATTAAATTTACCTTGGTCCGCTTTTTGGTCATACGCCCTTTGCATTATTGGAGGGGGAGAGAGAGAGTGAGAACGAGAAGAGAAAGGAGATTAAGAGGGAGAGAGAGAGAGAGAGAGAGAAAGAAGATAAAAATTGGAAGAAAAAAAAAATGTTAGGGCCCCCGTAAAATGCGGTCGGTCACTTCGCACAGCCTCAGAACCGGCCTTGACTTTTTTTCGCAGCAAAAGTCGGCCACGTGGTGGAACTCCAACCAAGATCACCGTACAAGTCTCCAACTTTTTCTCTGTGAACTCCAACCAAGTCGATCTCTGCACGCGCCACGACTCCGCGCAAGCACCGGAGTCTCGCCGGCCCGCCAACGACGACGACGCCGCCCGAACTGCGCCCCCAAGCCACCGAGTCTCTCCCCCAATCACGACGCCGCTTGCCCCCTTCCCACGATTTCAGACAAAACTTCGCCACGACACCGGCGAGCCAAATCCGGCGCCATCCGTCGACACTGCCGCCCTCCGTCCCAGGACCAGATCGGGATCCCTCTCTTCTCTCCTTCTCAGATCGAGAACTGGGTACCCTTCCTCCTCCGCGAGCCTACTCCGGCTATCCCGATCCACCCCTCAGGTAAAATCCCCTTCCCTCTCGATCCCTCACTTCTCTCTTTCTCATCTCTTCTAATTAATGTAGATAATATGAAACTTTCTACTGTTCTTGGGGTATTGTAGTTACATATGAAGGAAAATCAAGCTTGAAGATTTTCGTTTCCACATTTTGTATAAATATTCAAGCTGTTCTTCTTTGCTCTAGTACAAGCACATATGCATTGACAAAAGAGTACAATCTTGTCCGTGTATGGAGTAAATTGATTGGGCACTCATACAGTGAGAATTTATGCCATCCAAAACAACATTATGCTATTCTTACTTCAGTAGTTGGAATTGCAATGTGATAACTGAGCACACCTTAAACTGTGGGTCTTCCATAAATAAGAGGAAGTTCAAAACATGGCAAAACATCCTCAGGTGTTGGAGGGGGGTTGTGTTGGGTATTGAAACTGCTCTCTCATAATTAATGGATGCTAGACACGCCAGCCCCCCCTATTTTCCTCGCCTCCCTCGCCTCGTTTCAACCTCGGTTGCGAGTAAAACATTGCGTAAAGGGTAGTGCTATGGGAGGAAGAGACCTTACACAGATACTAAATCGCTGTTGGAATGTGTTTAAATTATTATAGTCTGTATTCTTTTAAACCCTTTTGAGCACCCATGTCACTGTATTTCTTATACATAGATTGCTTTGCACATGTTCTCTTATCTGATGTATTGAAGATTTCATCTTCTTCTTGCTGCACTTTCGAAAATTATACTATTCATTATTTTATTTTATTTATTATTAATTCATCATTTTTATCCTTCTCATTTAAGTTGATATATCAGTTACTTCATTAATGGAAGATATGTAATGGTAGGTCCACGACCTAGTCATATGACATGAAGATCAGTAAATAATGTGGGACGATAGAAACAACTTGAGTTTAGTTTGACCAGAAATTTTGCCATGAACATAATGATCTGAGGGTCTTTAAATTATGTTGGTGATAAAAAAGAAAAAATTCTTCATACACGCATTGAATATAAGAAACCAAGCACATCTATATAAAGAAATCTGGAATCGTCAATGAAAAATCAAAATATTATAAACTTTATGCCATACCCTTCATCTCCAAATTCCTACTTCATATTGGAGCAGTAACTTAAACACAGATCTATAATCACAACTTATTCGTGAAGTTCGTAGAACCACTCAAGACTTCTATTAGCATCAGCTTGCTTATTTGACCTACTTAATCCGGCCATCATTCTTCAAGCATGGTTCAAGCATGTTGAGAACATTTGATTTTAATTTGTTTATTGATAGTTTACATGCTTGTTGGTTGTCATTAAATAATGTGTAACTACATTCTGGATAGTTCTGAAGTTAGCTTGACTAAAAATTTGAATACTTTTGGCACAGGTTGTTGGAGCATACTTTGAAAAAATTGGATCAAAATGTTTTGCAGTTCACTCTATTGCTGTGATTGATGCATACTTTCAGTTTCTTTTAGCAAGACCTGGTTTGTGAGAGAATACTTGCATGGTGCAGTACCTGGTTTTTTTAGGTTGTTTAGCAAGACCTGGTTTGTGAGGGCAAGACCTGGTTTGTACTCAATTTGGGGCTTGTTTACGGTCAGTTTGTATTATGATTTGTGCTCAGTTTGTACTTAATTTGACCTTTTGTTTGATTTCTAGAAATGGAAAATGTATGCGCAGTTTGTACTCAATTTTGAGCTTGTTTATGGTCAGTTTGTATTAAATTTTGTGCTCAGTTTGTACTCAATTATGAGTTTGCTTGTGGTCAGTTTGTCCTCAATTTTGAGCTGTTTGGAAGAGCTGTTGTGCACATTTTATGCATTTATATGTACTGTTCTGTTCTCTAAGTATCATAATTTGTTGTTCTTGAAGATACATGCATAAAACTGATGTCCATATTTTCTGCTTGTACACTGTTTGGAAGAGCAAAATGAGCTGTTTGTAATTTTTTTGTGTTGTATCATGGTTTTACAAAGAAAGGGTAAAGCTGCCTAATTTTTGTTGCAGATTAGTTTCTGTGATTAAGCAGCTGAAACTACATTGATTTCGGGTTGTAATTGGTTTGACCGTCATCGCCTAAGTGAGTTGTAAGACTTGATTACCTGCATGAGAATCTGTAAGTTTTAGATGCTGGATCCAGTGACAGACTTGTGGAAATGTTCATGGGACTTGATTCGGCTGTTTGTAGAGATTGGAACCATTTATGGACTTTTAGAGGCTGAAATCGTTAAAGATGCTGAGACAGTGACCAAGTTTTAGATGCTGGAGCCATTGGCAGACTTGTGGACATCTCCAAGAGTATTGAGATGCCAGTTGAAGCCAGCAAATAGCACATACAAGCTCACATTGTCTTCATTAGGTGACAAAGACTAAACAAATATCTCAACTCACAGTACTTTCAAGTTTCAACTTTCAGCCTTCTCTCGCATTCCAATCCTCTATTGCAAGAATCAAACTAATCACTTATTGATATAGCATGGCGACAATCACTGTGAAACATGAGGAAGAATGCAGGAATAACTGAATATTTACAAAAGAACAAGAATGCTTACGCCAAAACCACAAAATGCACCAGGAGAAGCACAGAGAAAGAAATATTTCTCCAACACTGCACACCGCTGTGATACAATATAATCCAGTTCCGAATTTTTGGCCAAAAATCAATATAATCCAGAGTTGCAGGTATCAGAAAAGGCTAGTCAATACAATAAAAGCAAGGTGTTGCCAAACAAAGTATATAAATTGTATCTCCAGTAGTATTCATATTAACTTGAATGCATACGAGTTATCCTGTTCACATGAATGTATATAAATTGTATCTCCAGTAGTATTCATATTAACTTGAATGCATACGAGTTATCCTGTTCACATGAATGTATATAAATTGTATCTCCAGTAGTATTCATATTAACTTGAATGCATACGAGTTATCCTGTTCACATGAATGTATATAAATTGTATCTCCAACACTACACACCACCCAGAAAAGAGAACCCGCCATTGATTCAAACTCCTTATCATCTTTCTGTCACTTTGAAATAAGGATCTCAATGTAGTCTCCTTGTCAGATCCAAAAGCCTACAAAATAAAATATGTTACAAATCAGTAACTATAACTCAGCAGAACATCTGAAAAGCTCTAAGTTAATAGACTTGGGTCTCAAGCTGTAAGTATGAAATGAAGATTTAAAGTTGCAATGGAGCTAACCTAACATAATCTTTTGGAAATAAATTAGCAAGGAAACACATTAAACAACAGAAATACGTACATGGACTAGGGTAGCCCAGTGAAACAACCTCAAAATCCAGCACACATGCATTTGTTTAGCTGCAAATTTCATGACAAATAACGACAAAAAACAATTCAAGATCGTGATATATGGCAACATTGAGCTATGAAGTTTCATGAAAACAAAATATTAATTGTACCTTTGCAAGTTGACTTTACAGCTTGTTGACCCTACTAGTATATATATATTAATCGTGATATATATATATAATCGAAATTGATCAAATTTCATAACAAATCAACATCTAATCTGCATTGCATTACAAGGAGATGACAACGAAACTCAAACCCTTCAACGTCACGGAGTAAATGATTCCAGAATGGTTATCCAAATAAAGTCCCTGCAGCAAAAACGAACAGATTCGACTCTGACTCTTACTCTGAATAAAGTTTACGCAGCAAATGCAAACAGATTCTACTCCGAATAAAGTTCAAGCAGCAACAACGAATAGATTGGACTCTGAATAAAGTCCCCGCAACGAAAAAGATCAGACAGTCAGAAGATATCTTCAACTGAAAGAGCTACATAGACTAAAACATCTCCGCTTCTCGTTTCAGTCATCTATACTATGCAACATTTTCACTCCATCCAAATACTCAAAAAGTCCAAACATTTAACAACAGGATACAAAAAGAATTGGCACCAAGAACCTCGAGATAAACTGTCCTGTACTTGCACATAACAAGCCAACATGTGAAACGACATCGCTTTGCTAAAAAAAAATAATAATAATACCATGGCCGAGGTAAACCACCAGGGTTTCATGCAAGAGATCAGCCCTCCCAAACCTCAGCTGCTGAAACCTTCAATAAGCCCTGCTGAATCCTCACAAATTTTTACGTCCACTCTATATACATACAGCACTATGTCATCCCTTGGAAACTTCTATGAGCATAGCGTGTGGGAAAGCACAAAATATGTGATAATTTCATATAGACATTACTCAGTGAGGAACTCGACTTTCCACTCTCAAACAGCATACAGCCTTATAACTTGATCGATGTTGGCACGGCACACAGGGCATCCCCATTTCTTCCCTTTGATCTCATTCAAGCACGACATGCATCCAGCCATATGACCACAAGGAATGCAAGCTCCCTCCACCGGAGCATCCAAACATATCACACAAGAGGACGACGCGCCGCTGCCGCTGTCCTCCTTTGGATCAAAAGGTTCTGGCTTGCTCCCAGCAGCTGGCATACTTAAGTCCACCGGGCTTGAATCTATTGTTGGGTATTGGACGGGTCCCGGATAGAATGTTTCCTCAGCCAACGGAGGTGCCGAAGGAACTGTCACAGTTGGAGGTGCTGAAGGAACTGTCACGGTAGGAGGTGCCTCATGAGCTGAAGGAAGAACTGATGGAGTCTCAAGCTGGCTATTGTAAAGCTGGGGTGAACTACTGCTTGGCCTCACTCCAGACCACCCGTTGAATGGATCTGAAGTAGTTGCTACTTTTGACGGCGGAGGAGCTCCACTTGATTGGCCCCAACCATTGTAGGTGGTGGTGGTGGTATTTTCTGAGGGAGCCCAGCCCATGGTGTTAGTTGATAGGTTAACAGGTTGGGGATTAGGAACAGGGACTCCCTCAGCTAAGGCTGATTGAATGGAGGCATTAATAGCCATGGCTAGTTGTACATCTTCAGGAACAGGAGAATGTGTAGTTGCTGGTGCTGCTGACACATTTGAGTGTATATGTGATGGGTTGGGAGTTGGTCTTGCGTCCGGTGGTGCTACAGGAACGTAACTGTTTTGCTGAAATAAGAAAACACTACATAAGACGAAGAATAGATTGGATTACTTCTGTGCAGACTGCAATAAGCAACTAGTAGCAAGCTAAGAGTAATTTGGTATTGTCTCCACTAACTAGTAGCAAGCTAAGAGTAATTTGGTATTGTCTCCAAAAAGATTACAACTTTCTCCTTTAGAACAAATCGTGAGCTCCTGTTTTGCGGTCTCTTGCTTGTGTGGGTTCTTTGCCGACGCCGGGGTTAATCCGTGGACCACCGCGCGATCTAGATCCGGTCAGATCTACACGATTCGACGGGTATTATTTCGCGAAGGAAATAATAGCCGGGGGGGTTAGTTCACCAAGGAAATAATCACCCTTAATTCTCGGGATCAAAGGCCAAGCTTTGATCCGGAGTGTGACGGGATCAAAGGCCAAGCTTTGATCCGGAGTCTGATCTCGTGTAGATCTCAGATCTGATCTTTACCTCTCTCGAACTCCTACCTTTTGTGACGTGGACGCTCGCCGAGAATCAGATCTGAATCTTCAAGTCTCCAAGTCTTCAAAACTCTGAGCTCAATCTTCAATTCGGCAGAGTTTCGGCTCTCAAAGTTCCAACCTTTTCAAATGAACCAAGGGGGGCCTATTTATAGGCTCTCTGAACTGTGCCCGCGCACAGATCTGGGTCGGCCACCCATGGGTGGCCGGCACTGGGCCGAGCCACCCATGGGTGGCTCGGTCTTGGCCGAGCCACCCACGGGTGTCTCGGTTTGGGCCGAGCCACCCATGGGT